ATCTATTTGATATCTTGGCAAAAAAAATTATATTGATAATTTTTTCCATTAATTTATTATAAAATCAATGAAATGTCACACTTAGTCAAGAAATATAAAAAAGATTAATTTCTCAAATTTAAGATGAAATTTGTGTTTTAAGTAAAGTAAACGGAAAACATATATGATGATTATATATATATATATATAAAAGAGAAATATCAAATGAATATTTTATTCTTAAGTTAAGGATTATTTTTACCTATCAATTTTATCTAAAAAATTTATGATCAACTTAAATTCCAACTATAACTATAAGTCACTTTTAGCTTTCAATGTTAGAAACTCATCCCTAAACGCCTTGGCATTATTCCCATTATTTGGATCCCGCATTTAACACATTTTAATATTTTTTATTATAAAATATTATATAATAAGTCCTACTAATATTTTTTATAATATAAAAAAAAGTTAATGTGTCTCTCACTCCTCCAAATCTGCCTCTTCTCTCTCTCTCTCTCCCCACCTGAGCAGTATAAATACCAGTTAATGAATTTGCAGAAGCAATCATGTCCTAGCTTTAATTCCATCCAATTATTCCCTTATTCTTCTTCATCAATATCAATTATGGGCGCTTTCACTTTGGAATGCAAGAACACTTCAGCCATTTCATCACCACTTTCTCCATCTCCCCTCTCTCTCTCCCCCAACAATTAACCATGAAGATGAAGTGTCTTCCAGCAGAAGTGAGTGAACTCCCCAACAATGAACCATGCCCTTTACTCTTCCTACCTCGTCGTATGATCAAGAAGCTTCTCTAACAATTTATCATCCAAACACTCGTCTTCTACCCTGGGTTTCCACCATTGAAGACGACGAGGAACAGCGATTCTGATGGCTGCTTCTAGGAAGTTCACAATGGCCAATGACCCTCTCATCCCGAAAGCTGCACAATCATAGGTTCTCGCCGCTCCTTCTGCTGTGTTGAAAGTGCCCAGCCACATTCGAGCTCCATGCTTATTCGAATCTCAAATTTTTGCTGCAAACTTTCCCCCATGGCCACCTCTGCACTTGGTTTCTCTTGGTTCATCTTCCTTCGCCATTTTTCTTTAGCAACTATTCCATTCTCTTGGCGTGCTAGTGTTCATCCATACCCTGAACACCATCATTTATTTGACCGGTGGCCCTGATAGTGGTAGCGCTGGTTAGTTCAAAGAGAGGAGAGAGTAGGAAGACGAGGAGAGGCCTTGGCGGGGAGGGAGGAGGGGAAGGAAACGAGGACGAGGGGGAAGTGCGGGTCAAGGACATGACGTAGAACCACTTGTCATCATTGAGGTTGTCGTTAAGGAGGGATTTGAGGCGATGGACGGAGCCGCGAAAGTTATCGTGGGCCCAGGGCAAGTAGAAGTGGCCACGGTCGGAGGTTTGCTGGAAAATGGCAGAGACAAGAGTGAGGCATGAGGTAACATCCTAATTTTTAAACTAGAAAATTAATCAGAGGGAAATATGAATAATTGAGGATTTGATGGTAAAAGCACACTTAACTGAGGTGACTTGAGGGTAATTGCATGATAGGGTGCTTAATTAATGATTAATTTAGGCTTAAGGTCATGCATGAGGGTGTTTGGAAGTCCAAAATAGGTATTTGGCTTCAGTCAGGCCCAATAGAGTGAGGTTTAAGTAGGATCTGTCCACTTTGCTTTTGACTGCTTGTGGACATCAATAGAGAAGGTGAGACTGCCTTAAGTGGCTATGACCTTGCACGAACATGAAATGTGAAGGATCAATTGCACGTGGACATAGACACATTTAACAATCCCTGTTCAAGAAATCAGATCAGTTGTGCGAGAAAAACTGGAAACAAAAGGCAAGAGCTCTATTAAGGTATGAAAATTCAGTGGGTTCAAGTGGTTTTCAAGCCTAGGAATCACTTGAAGTAAGTTCCTAGCCCATTTCTCTCCTATTTTACCTAATTTTCCTTTAGATTTGGAGATGATTTTTTTAGTTAGGTTTTTCTATGGGGTTAAGATTCAAATTTGTGGGCATTGAATCTAGCTGTTGAGGTTAATGAAAGTGTAATGGATGTTTTAAAGCATGATTTTGGGGTTGAAATTTGAACTTGATGATTATGAGTTAAACCCTAAATTGTTATGGTTAGATTTTTGCTAAATGAATTTTGGAGATGTTGAAAGTATTGGTGGTGAGAAATCACTTGTTCAAAAAACTTTAATTGCTTGGAGTAAAGGTAATTTCTATTAATTTATTATAGTATGTGCCTTGTGACCGATTATGTGTGTTTTATTGAAATCAATTATTGGTTGAAAAATATTATATTAGAAAGAACATTTTCGAAAACATGATTTACATTCAAAAATATTTTTGTTTGGAAAACTCTTGATGCATGACTTGTTGGGTTTGTTTTGAAATATGTGATATTAGAGATTTTGTTCAAAGATTATCTATCATGTGGTAAGACTTTTAATAGACCCAATAAGTGGCTATTAGTTTGAAGCAACTCACCTTTGACCAGGTGACTTGGTGCCGGGCATGATGTATGAAAGGGGATAAGGTATTGTAATGCAAAATATTTTTGTTTGGATTATTAAATAACATATGTTTGAAAAATAATCTTGTTTACCCCACTTAGCAATTGCATGAATAATTGCATTGCATGCATTGTAACACTTTAGTATTGATTACTATGACCTTTATATTTCATTTCTCGTGATTAATATTTTTACGAGAGCTGGACAAGTCAAAGGAACACCTAAGGCTTACATTTGGTGTATGAGACACCACTTTATCTATGTTATGCCTCATTTTTGTTAGTAATGTATGATTGCCAACTTAAAACACATTATTTAGAACATAATGACTTTTGACTTTAATATGACTCACTTAAACTGTAGCCATGAAATTGGTGTATGACAATGATGGTCTCCTTTGATTTGACTAAAGTATTTAAATTATATTTTAGAGATTTGATAATTTTTTATCAATTTCGCCTTGAGTGTGCATGTATTGGTTGGTTGTAATCTAACTATAATTTTTCTTCATACATGTTTATAATGTGTTTTATGATATGATGTTTGATGTAGTTGTATCGTAGCCAAGTGTACACCATTGTGAGAACTCTAGTTGTGTAATGTTAGCAAACTGTGTAAAGTATTGTTTGGACCCATGTTGGGTATTGATAATTAAATTTATGTTTGAAAAGTGTGGTCTTCTTGACCAGAGTTTAATGTACTTATCATGGATGTATACTTGAGTCACTTTGTCAACTATTATTTGTGATTAATACAATATTTGAATTTAAACTGTCATGGGAACATGCTTTATGCTTATTTATGATTTTAAATCAAATAGTGGATTTTGAATATTGGTTTTCAATGGAATCCCATTAGGTTCATTTTATTTAATATTCTTTTCCATTGATATTTATTTATGTAACTTACTTAGTTCTTAAATAGGAGGGTTATTTTGTTTTGTTTAAACATTTTTGGTCATGGTAGTCTATTTTGAAAAATATTTTATTGTAAGAAAAACTCTTTTCTACTATAATAAACTTTTATAAAATAAATTTAACTCTTTAGTATCATTGTGGACTCTTTTCTATCATGGTGGAGTTTGAAAATGATATTTAAAACCCTTTCTACCATGATAAACATTTATGTATCATAGTAAATACTTTTCTACCATTATAAATGCTTAATAATTAAGATTTAATTATTTAATCATATTTTCACGAAAAGTTAAAATGAAATTTTAGAGTGTTAAATATGACTAGAAGCATATATAGAGGGGTGAGAGATGAGAAGATATCAAGTACAAAGGTATTTGAGAGTGTAAAAAGCAAAATAAAAATGAATCATTGAAGTAGTGTTTGGTTAGAAGGGAGAGAAGAGAAGGGGATAAGAGGAAGATTTTAAAAAATCTTCCCTTCCCTAAGGTGGGAGGGGAGCCCTCCCCTTCCCTTGTTTAGATGGGACAAAGGGAGGGGAGGCCCTCCCCTTGTTTGATAAGTTAGGGTGGGGGGGGGGGGAAGAAATTTTTTAAAATTTCTCTTATCCTCCCTTGTTTAGATGGGACAAAGGGAGGGGAGGTGCCCCTCCCTTGTTTGATAAGTTAGGGTGGGGGGGGGGGAAGAAATTTTTTAAATTTCTCTTGTCCTCCCCTCCTCTTCCCTGAAACTAAATAGGGCCTAAAGGGAGATGTAGAGAGGGATTTAGTTTCGATACTCATCATCTAGAAAGATTTGGACCATTCAGATTTTAATTTAGATAGTCTAGAGTTTTTCAATTTTAATTTTAATTTTATAAAGATAAAATTTATAAAATTTTTTGATAAATATATTCATCATCAATATGAACAATATTGATTCAATCTGAGATTTTGAGTAGTTTCAATTTAATATTATAATTTTTATAAACTGACTATCTAGATGTATTCTAGACAAGATAGATTCAATATCAAATTTTTAATAATTTTTTATTTTATTAAAATTTTTAACAATTTTTTATTTTAATAAATATAAAATAAAAATAAAAAATTTAAATCTAGACCTTGCAGATAAAAATTTAGTATTGAATTTAGAATGTTCCGAGTACATCTAGATAGTCAATTTATGAAAATTATAATATTAAATTGAACCATTCAAATTAAATCAGTACTGTCAGAATGATGATAAATATATTTATAAAAAAATTTATAAATTTTATTTTTATAAAATATAAAATTAAAATTAAAATTGAAAAAATCTGGACCAATCTAGATGGCTTAAATTTTTTGAATGATGAGCATCGAAACCGAATCGTGCAAAGAGTGGTTAGAGGAATGGGTATAAAAGTACAAAAATGCCAGCTAGTGGGACTTGCTAACTAATAACTATAGAAGACAAGAGTGTGCATTAGTCTCACCGTCTCAGGGGCATGAGGTTCAGATTTCAAATGGTGAGGACAAAATTGACATGTAGTTAAAGTTCATGATGACTGTAGGCCTTTTGGGTGAAGCAAAAACAAAAACGACACAACCTGCGGTTAGTATGAGAGAGGACCCCTAAATCTTTGCGATAAGGCGTTTCTGGATACATCTAGAATGTGAGAAACTCAAGTCCACGTCGAGCTTTCGAGAACCCTCTGTTTTTCTGTTTTCATTGCTTCCTTGCGGCCCCATATTTCTCTCGTTTCTGTTTCACTTCCTTATATCTCACAAATCCTTATCCCTCCACTGCCCTGCAAATCAATTTTGAAAATTTCACCCCCCCTTCCCTTTATATATTACAATTTCTCTCTGCTAACCTGTGAATCTTATTTCTGGCTTTGGTAGAGTTGTAAGCATTTCATTTGTTGACGGTACATTATAGAATATGACTCAGGCTTTATCCTCAAGTTTCGGAGTTCATCTTCGCTCGCCATATGGCTCATCATCGTCATTATCTTCTTCTTCACCGAGGTCCTCTTTCAGTTTTACACGGTCCTTCATGCCTGTCAAGGTTGTGGCCACTGGAGATATCAAAGACAAACTTAGCCATCTTCAAAGACCACACAAGGACCCTTCCCACCCTAGAACAAGAGTCGCTCCACCCGGAGGTAAACCGCTGACTTGCTTAATTCCTCTTACAAATTGTGTAAAATACAAGGACATGCTTCAATTTGCATAATCATATTACATATTCTAAAGCCATGTAATTTTTTTTTTTATTTGTATGGTTATCAGTTTTCGGTACCAGGGGTAGTCTTTTAGATTGCTCAAAACATTCCCTGAAATGGTCAATTATATTATGCTGTGTATTTCCTAAGAAATTATGGGATAAAGGTCTTTTGGTTTAATGTTATTTGTTTCCTGGTTAAGAGGGATTTGACATCTGAAACATTGCATTCGAAGATTGACTATGTAATTTCTTGATACATCTTTTGTTGGGAACAAATAGAATTCTCAAATGGAAAAACTAAAGCAGAGTCATGACTAAATGCAGGGCTGTGGGACCGATTTCCTACGGCAAAGACTGTGCAGGATATGATGGAGACAATGGAGAGGATGATGGAGGACCCATTCGCTCTTAGCAGTGGGGAGTGGCCGAATGCGGCGAGCGGCAGCAGTGGCGGTCATCGCAGGGGAAGGACACCGTGGGAGATAAAAGAGGGAGAGAAAGAATACAAGATGAGATTTGACATGCCTGGGATGACCAAAGAGGATGTGAAGGTGTGGGTGGAAGAAAATATGCTTGTGGTGAAGGCTGAGAAAGAAAGAAAGAAGAATGTTGATGAAGAAGAAGAAGATGGCGGAGAAGTTTGGTCTGCTAAGAGCTATGGAAGGTATAACAGTAGAATTGTTTTGCCTGAGAATGTGGTTTTTGATAAAATTAAGGCTGAGGTTAAGGATGGTGTTCTTTACATAACCATGCCTAAGGCTGCTTCCTCTTCAAACATCCTTGATATCCATGTCCAATGACTCAATGCTTTTTTCTCCTGAAAGAACAATTTGTATACATAAGCTTTGCTTAAATGAGTAGAATAGTTTAGAGTCAGTCCCTTAAGTGTTATGGAATGGTATGTGTCTTGAAAAATAATCATTATTATTGAATCATGTTAAAAGTAATTAACGTTCGTTTTGTTGAGGGTATTCTTGAGCTGGCTTTTTTTGTTTCTGTTCCTCTTTGCCTTCAGCCAACCATATGCTAGTGTGGAAACAAAAGTATATTTACCAACACTAATGACAGTAGAGTCTAGAAGGTTTAGTTTTTCACAAGGTGTTGTCATGAACTAGTGCTTAAATTTTTGCCAGAGGAGATTTTCACAGGAAGAGATGCTCACATTCAATGATTAATTGCACCTTGAATATGATCGTGTTTAGTAGGAAGACACTTGTAAAAGAACATGCTCTGATGAAAAATAGCTTTTGCATAATCTCTCATAGAGTCAAGGTGGATCAAACTTGATTTGATTTCGTGTATTGAACTCATGTTATTTGACGTTATTGTGTTATATAATTAATCAAGTTTTTAGAAATGTTAATTAAAAGGTTGTTCATGTGAAATTTGACTGAGTTTTATGCTAACTGTTAAGGGTTTAATACAATTCTCTTCCTTAATCTAGGCTTGGAGCTGGCTAAATATGAAGGGCTATAATTAAATTCTTACAAATTCTTGGCAGTGAGAATTTAATTGAGTGGCTGACATTAGAAAACATATATATAGTATAAAATTTGTATAAATTTTTGGAGTTAGGGAGACAGAATATCCATATATAGTATACAGAAAAATTCGAAACGTTGAGGCACCACGACCCCTTCTGTCACTGTATTTCTCCAAGTTTCAGCCTTAAATATGAAGAAATGGTAATTCTCGATCCATTCAGATAAACATCAACTGGAATGCAGATATAGTGCATGGGTGGGATTATCGATCAGAAGGATTGATTGGAAATTTTCAGCTTCAATTACAAGGTTTACAGCAAATTTTTATGTTTTTTATCATGACAAAAAGTTTTGGTGAGTTGAGTCAAAGAGTTATTAGGGTTAGAAACATGACATAAATCTCAAGTCTCAAAAAGTACTTATAGATATAATTTTAAATTACCCACAAAGTTTTTTGTTTTTAGAGTCACAGAATGCAACCAAAAGGACTGATTGGAAAACTTCAGCTTCAATTACAAGGTTTGGAGCAAATTTTTATGTTTTCATAATCAAAAAATGTAATTCTAGATGCTTACTCATTTCCTGGTTGCGTTTGGAAAACCAACGTTTTACATTCAAAAAGTTATTTTTTACTTTGAGAAAGTTAAATGGTGTTTGGGGATTATTTAAAGTTTAAAATTAACTTTCTAAAAGTGCTTTCGAACTTAGTTGAAACGGAAAAAATTGAAAGTTGATATTTGGAGCTTTTAAAAAGTCAGTTGAAGAAAAATATAATACCCATTATTTAAAATGACCACGATACCCCTGGCTTCATATTTGTCTTTTCCTCTTGCCCGAACTGGTCTTCTTCGTTCTTCAGAACTCGCCTCTCTTCATCTCAGTTCTCTCTTCTCTGTGCTTTGCTCTTGTCCACCTCTTCCGCCTCGTCCACTATCAGTCCGCCTCTGTCATATTTCGGTAACTCTCGTCATTCTCTCCTCCGTCTTCCCCCACCATCTTTAGTCACAGATCTGACTTCTTCGTTCTCTCTTCTCTATGTTGTGCTCTGGTTTGCCTAATCCACCTCGTCCACCGTCAGATCTCCGGTGACTATCGTCCTTCTCTCCTCCATCTCTCCCCCACCATCTTTAGTCACAGATCTGACTTTTCTTCCTTCGCTGAGCTCGTGGTCTTGTTCTATCATCCTTCCTCATCATTCCAGTCGCTATTTTCTGTTTGTAGCTCATGGATCGAGCTTCTTTTGGGTCTTGGATGGCATTGTGAAGCTGACAGAAGTAAAAACACCTGAGGCCTGAACTGAACTCGGACACTCGAACATTCGGACGGTTAGAGCTTCTTTTCGGTCTTGGACGCTGGGTGGTCCTCTAATTTTTTCTCCAGATTGCTTATGCTCTGTTTTTTTTTTGTTGAAGGTACTTCTGCTCTGTTTGACCGTTTCTTCCACTTGCATTAGTAATCCAAAACTTGAAAGCTTCTGGACGTTAGGAATCTGAACATTGAAGAAGAAGGATTGGTTCAAACTTTTCTCATACTCAATGAACATGAATGTTGTGAATCTGAACGTAGTTGTGCTCTGTGTGTATGGTTCAAACTTTTGTTATGTTGAATGAATAGGAACCAGAATGGTGGAAATGCTTGGTTCTGTTTTCAGATCTTGAATTATTTAAGTTCAAAATTAGTTCTGCCTTTTGTATATGTTTGTAAATTTTTTTATAATCAATGACTGATTCTTGGGTTTTGATTTCCTTTTCTGAGAATGTGTGTTTTAAAATTTTTTTGTGCTCAATTACTAGTGAATTATTCTGAATTTATGTGTGTTTATGTGTGTATTTTCAAGTTTTTTTTTGTTCAAACTAATGTTGAATTATGGGTTTTGGTATGGTTTCATAAATGAACATTGGATGATTTTACTTAATTAATTATTAGTTGCTTTGTTTCCAGTTAAATGTGGGTTGACAAATAGGTCTAATTTATGTTAATTAATTATTAAGAATGTAATATTTTGATAGTAAATATGAGTAAGAAGAAGGCATTGTGGACTACTGAAGAAACTGAACTGTTCATCAAATTAGCTCTCTAACAAGTTAGAAAAAATGAGCGCAAGGGCTCTACCTTATCAAAGGAAGGTTGGGAAGCATTAATGTAACAGTTCAATGCTTTAAGCTCTAGAAGTTATGATAAGAAGCAGTTAAAAAATAAATGGGATAATTTGAGGAAAGATTGGAATATATAGGACAAATTGTTAAACAAAGAGACCGGCTTGGGATGGGATAGCGAAAAAAATACTATATAAGTATCGAATGAGTGGTGGAGTCAAAATATTAAGGTATATAATTATATATGGCATAATATATATTTAATGCTTTATTTTGTAAATATATTGAACTCAGTTCTTGTAATGTGTAGGAAAATCCTGAGTATAGAAAATTTATACATAGACCACTTCTATATGTACAAGAATTGACACAGTTGTTCCAACCAGTTGCAACACGAGGTACTTACATGTGGACACCTGCGGCTGATGACTCACATGATGTGTATAGGTCTCAACTGGATTTGACCGAAGGATCAGGAGATAGTAATGATGTGAGAAATATTAGTGGAGGAGCTCTCCCAAAAATTGGGCAGATCAACTTGAACAATGCATACAGTGGTGGTACTAATTCAAGGAGCAATAGAAAGAGAGGTGAAAGTGGTCAAAATAAGAAGGAAAAATGTCTTGCAACTGTGATGGTTGATTCAGTAAGTCACTTGGTATCCACACAAGAGGATAGGGTTTCAACACTGAAGTCAATTCTTAATTCCATAAAGGGTGGGACAAAACCAGTTGATCAAAATGTGGTGGATGTTGCAAAGGAACTTTATGGAATCGAGGAGATTGCTTATGATGAGGTACTTCTTGGACAGTGTGCTGTGACTTTGTTAGATAAGACTATAAGGACATGTATATTAGGCTTGGAGACAACAGAAGAGCATTAATGGCCTATTTGAAGTGCTTGGGCAAAAAAACAGATTAGATCAATCCTAGCTTACCTTCTTAATGTTTTAAATTTAGCTAGTGCTGTTTATGTTGTTAACTTAGTTTTAAAACTGACTGTGTTATTTGACACTTGTGTTATGTGTTTCTTATGTTAAGTCATGGATAATAGTGTAATGGTTGTTTAATTATGCTATGTAGTTTTTATGAATGACAATACGCAATCTCACTTATTACAATTACTTGTATATGCGAAAGACGATGAGATTGAGGCCATTACTGCAATAATATCTAATTACTCAATAACTTTATTGAAAGAGCCTTGTAGAACTAGTTCACAATCAAGTCATGTATGGGTGCAAGAAATTTTGTAAGGGCATCCTCAGCATTGTTATGACATGTTTTGCATGGAAAAAGATATTTTTTTTTCAACTTTGTGATGAACTGGTACAACATGGTTTGTCTAACCAGAAGAACAAGGATTCATGAAATGGTTGGTATGTTCTTAAACATCGTTGGACATGGGGTGGGGAATAAGATGGCATAAGAACGATTTCAATATTTAGCGGCAACTATTCACAGACATTTCAAAAATGTATTGCGTGCTTGTGAGAAACTAGCAAAGGAATATATCCAACCAAAAGATTGCACTTTTTAAGATATTCATCCAAAAATTTTAGGTGATCCGCGATATTGGCCATTCTTTAAAGATGTCATAGGAGCAATCGATGGAACACATATCCCATGTGTGGTTAGTGTTGAAAAGTAAGGGAAATATATTGGAAGGAAAGGTATTCCAACACAAAATATAATGGCTGCATGTGATTGGGATATGTGCTTCACTTATGTCATGGCTGGATAGGAAGGGATTGCCCATGATGCTTGTTTGTTTGACTATGCACTCACAAGGCCAGACATGAAATTTTCACATCCACCCCAAGGTATATTTCATATTTATTTAATTTAAAATAATTTACTCAATATTTTATACTAATGATAATACCGATGAGCATGTATTTTCATCAATAATTTCAAGTGCAATTTCAAGCGTAGCTTCTGATAGAGAGATGAATATAGTTCGAGATTCTATTAGAGATCAAACTGTATATTATAGATCAAACTATTAATCATGTAACTATTCAATATTAATGAATGTTTAACTATTTATTACATAAATTTGTCCAAAATTAAATTTTATATTTTTTTCTTATTATTTAACATTTTAAATTTTATGTTATTTTAAAATTTGTTTCACATTTTTTAAACATTACTAATATATTATATTTGTATAATAAAAATTATAAATTATCATTCTGTAATGTCCTTTTTGGTGATTACATATTAAAAAGTATATTTCAAAAGAATAAATTTTTATCAATCCAAACAACTTTCTGTTTGTCAAACCGACTTTTAAAAAAATTTATCCAAATACAAATTTCATTACAATAACTGACTTTCATCAAACTGACTTTTATCAAATGAATTTTATCAAACTAGTTTTTGCCAAATTAAAAACCAAACACACACTAAAACTTGGACGGATAATAGCTTCCTATCTGTAGTTTGTTTGAGGATGTAAATTGACACCATGACACTTGGAGGCTCTGCTAAAAAAAAAAAAGCAGAGAGAGAGACATTGGTGTCTTTCTTCCATGTTTTTGTACTGTTATTTTGTTTCTTGACAATAGTTGCTGTCTAACGGGAACCAAAAAAAAAAAAGAAAAGAAAAGAAAAGGGGCTTTAAATGTGCAGCTATTTGACCATTGTGTGTTATGTCAGTGTGTTCATTGGTTCTGTCTAGTTTGGTTTAAAAAAAAATTAAATCGAACTAAATTAATCGATTCATCAAAATTTAAAATCTATTTAATTTTTTTTAATTAGTTTGGTTCAATTTTTAATTGGTTTTGTTCTATTTGATTTAAATTGGGATCAAGTTTTTTTTTCTTTGAGATACTTTTCATAATCAATATATGATTGCTCATTTTAACTAATAATTTTTAATTATTAATTAGTATTTTCAATGAAAAAATCTCTTGAAAACAAAAAAATATTTTTAACAATTATTTAACACATTTAACTATTAAAAACTAATATGTCTCTTTTAAAACACTTAATTATAAAATTAAAAAATAATCATAATTAATTATAGATAACATTTAACTAATTGCAACATATTTTTAACTAGTAATTTACATATTATTAAATTTAGGGAAAAAAATAAAAAAATTATAAAAATATATGAAATAGGTATAATAAGGTTTGGTTTAGTTTGATTTAAGTTTCAAAAGATAAAAAACCTGATCCAAAATGAACGAAATTGATTTCTATTCCCTTCGTCCTTTTATATAAGAATTCTTTTAGAATCTCTTTTCATCTCTAAATTTAAAGAGTTGTTAATATTTTTTAAATAAATAAATCATTATATTCTTATTAAATTGAAAAGAGAAAAAGATAAGTACTCTTATTAATTTATCTTAAAAATTATTTTTTATTTACAATAATTTGAGATAAAATTAAAATATTATTGTGTTTTTAATTAAATAATTAAATTTTATTAATTTATATAATTTAATTAAAAATATTTTATATATAAAGATGGGGGTATTTTTAAATGACCTTACTGTCATGTTAGTAGAATCCTTAACACGATACACACACCATATTGTCAAAAAGTTGCGTGCCAATTCACCAAATGGCTGACAAATGGCAATGTTAAAAAGAGACACATTTCACTGTTGGAAAAATATAATTTTAAATTCCTTTATTTTATTCACATTTTGTTATATATTTTTATATATTTTTTTTAAATATTTTAGGTTTTTATATTTTTATTTTTCAGTATTTTAGATCTTTCTCTAAACAAAATCTAAAGACTTAAAATATTAAAAAATAAAAATATAAGAACTTAAAATATTAAAAAAGTATAAAAACTTATAACAAAATGTGAATAAAATATAGAGATTTAATGTTATATTTTTTTATTATTTTAATATTGACATAACGCTTGAATTTTATCAGCAAGTCTCTTATACAAAGATTCTTGGATCATGCAAATTGTTCAACTCTTGGCTAAGCCTTTATTGCTTATGATAATAGGTAGACCCTTAGCAAATTGCCCTCGCCTATCATAAGCACATTATTGAATTGAAGAATAGTTTCGGCCAAAAAAAAAAAAAACAAGAAGAATAGATGCTATACGATAAAATATTATTGATTATGTTATGAAAATAGAGATTGAAAGGAGGAAAAAAGAGAGAAAATTATACTGAGAGAATAAGAGAATAAAAAGCTTTCTTATTTTTTATGTGTAAAATACAATTGAGGTGCCTTCTATTTTAGACATAAATATATCAATTAAAATAAATAAAATATATAAGATAATAATAACTGGAAGATGTTATAATAATTGAAAGATATTGAAGAATTTAAGATAATAGACATCCACATAATATCCTAGTATTTATAACACTCTCCCTTGAATGTTCATATATTGTGCCTCGTTAAAATCTTACTAAGAAAAACTCAATGGGACAAAAACTTAGTCCAAGAAAAAGAGTAAACAATATCGTCATATTTATTGGAGTTGCCTGATTAAAGACCTTATTAGGAAAATTCAATGAGACAAAACCTTGGTTAAGAAAAAAAGAGTACAAGATAACCTTTACTTCCCCTAATGACAATATCACTCCTTATTCTTGAGTCTTCTTGAGTCATTGTATCCTAACTTATGTGTCAATTTCTTGAATATTATTGTTGCCGATGCCTTTAAGTCTGTGAGTTGGTATGCTCTTAGAGCTATACTATATATTCATATTTTAAAACATTTTCTTTAAACATATCTTCTGGATATGAATACATTCTTCACTTGTGGTATATCTAAGGAGAGTAAAAAAACAATCTTGATATACATGTAGTTTCATAAATAAATAATCTCTCAAAAGTCAACTTATACAGTTCAAACTAGATATGTATAACACATGCATAATCAATTAATTTTGATCCTAAATAAGTTTAGTACATCAACCACAGATAATAATTCCTCAAGTACATCATATCAAGTATATAGCTTCATTGCAAATCAAGGCAATATCATAAATTGTGATATGAACACATTTATATATGGTGCTTCAAGATCATATTTCATCATCCTCTTGAAGAAAAATGATCTTGATTCTCATCTAATCACCCAATATTTTAACATATTTATTTAACAATCAAGTTTTCATATAAACTCTTCAGGATATTCAATAATAATCAATCAACCAAATCTGATGCAAATCAATATGTATATCAGATTTCTATACTGCTAAGCTAATAACATATTACAAATAATTTCATCCACCATACAATATATTAATACATATTTTGAATCCTTGTAAGATATTTTTATATTAAAAGTCAAGTTTTGCATGTGATATTTCATATTTTTCTTTTTACATAAATGCTCATGTGTAATATCACACTTCAGGTGCTTGAGCTATAAGTTCACAACTTTTATATCATAAACAAGTGAATGTAATTCAACTTGTATTGCATTTTTTTTTAGATCTTCATTTGATAGTAATATTTCATTCTCATTAAAAGTATTGTTGACAACTCTCATCTTTTCGGTTCTATCATTTCTCATATTGACATAACTTCTCAATATCTCTTTATTATTATCAGGTACCTGATCCTCTTCTAGAGACTTAAAGTCAGTTATGTCTTGGTTTTTTTCTAAAATATCAGCCTCCTTAATATGATCATCGTACTTAACTGCTCCTTTATAATATTTTTTTTTCTTTGCAACCGATTAGCCTTCCACACTTTAGGCGTGATTTATTTTTATTTATATCTATGGAATATTATTAGTTAGAGCATGAATTCAAAATTTCTTCTCTCTATCAATATTTACATATTTGGCAATTATTTTATTTCATGAATGCCATGTTATATAAACTTTTGATTCATATATGAAGATCTATACAACATATCGATAATGCATTCATATATTTTCATTTTCAGCTTTTTATTATCTTCCCCTCTTTCTGGATTACAAACCATGCAGTATAAGCCTTTTAAATTCATTTTATCTCTTATAGAAACATCATTTTGTTTACTTAGAAACAAATAAGAAGAAGAAAAATCTTAACCAACATTTATTCCCAACCCGTTGTGTATTCACAAGATGAATGCTTGTAGCACAAATTGAATTCATGAATTGTGCCACAC